GGTGGCTGCGGTTGTTAGCGTCGGTTTGGTTTTTCAGGTGGGGGTTGGGGGCCGTCATCTTGCCACATACTGTCGCCTCGTTTCGTGGGACGTTGGCAGAGCCGCTTCCGCTTGCTTTCGGTCTTGGTGTTGCTTCTGCACCGTTAGTAAGCTATCTCGTGCGTTGTTTCACCTCCGGCCTGTTCGTGCGCCACTTGCACTGTCCTGGTCTCTGGTCAGCATGCTCTGTCTTCTCCTTGGTTGGTGGTTCTCCTTCGGTTCAGGTTTGTTTTTCGGCGACTCTTTTTCCTGTTGGTATTTGCCTCTGGGGGTCGGGTCGCTGGGCTTCTTGCTCTCCTCCGCAGGGGTTTTCTGTTCCTTCGGTCTTGGCGTTTTGGTTGTTCGGTGGCAGCCGTCTCCATCATTTCTAGCACGGGATGGGGCTGCTGCATTCCGGAGGGGTCCTTGGTTTGTTGGGGCTTGGCTGGTTGGGCCGGGGAAACGTCGTGTTTTGTGTTTGGTGGCGGCCCTCTGCTGTTATTTGTGTGCCTCTATGTCCGGGACGTGCGTTGAGTTGATCCGGTTCCATTCTTCCCTGTTCGCGGGTGAAGGTGTCCCGTGAAGGTGTCTCCGTGTTATTGCAGCTAGCCTGCCTGTGTTCTTTCCCCATGCCCGTGGCGTTCGTGGCTTCGCTGCTCTTGCTGTCATTCGGGCACTGATCTTTTGGTGTTCGTACAGGGGCCTAGCTGCTCGTTATCTCATGTTGTTCCCGGGCCCTTTCAGGGCTGTGTCGCCTTGGGTTGGCGTTTGCTGCCGGTTGTCTCACTTCAGTTGAAGGGTGCGTGGTGTTTGCCTCCCGGTTCCGTCCCTTTGACCTTCCTCTGTGGGTAGTTAGTTCCAGGGAGCCAACGTGGCTCCCCCCAGAAAACCAGTGTTAAATGTAATGAAACACCATTTTCTGAGTGAGACCCGGAGGCTCCCCAGCAACCCTCCTTCCCTCCAGTCGGCGGTTTTTCGCGTGTTTTGACATCCAGCCTCAGAACTGATGGGTGGATAGCCAGCGTGAGAGGTCTGGGGCTCCCCCTTCCCCCTCCCAGGGAGGGGGGAGATGCGCAGACAGCGGCGCGGTGACATGTGACGTCATACTAGTTTGCTTGTTTTCTGTTGGGGGAGTTCTATCCACTAGTTCGGCTTTTGGTAGCAATTTTTTACCAGAATAGGGATTTGTTTTGGAATGCTTACCTTTCTGGATGCTTGACCCGGTCGATGGCAGACATAGAATGCTTCCAACCACACGGGGGTTTCTATAGGCCATTGCTCCCCTTGCCTCTGAGGGGGCCAGGTTCTGGCCGTGGTCCCTGGTAGGCCCTAGAACTCCATGCATATGACTGATGCCAAAGTCTGACATTAGCATATCAGCCTGGTATAGCTCTGGGGAGCCTCCGGGTCACACCCAGAAAATGGCGTTTCATTACATTCAACGCTGGTTTTTTCAGTAAGTAGATAATGCTGATGAGGCTTATTATTAAACAGCATTTTCTCTTACCAAGTTTAGAAGCAAATTAATTATGCATGATATATATACGTGTAGTACTAATACATTTATATATAAGCATAAAGGCAGCAGCATATGTGAAGTTTACAAAACATAATCATGGCATTCAAGATTTTAATCAAAGGGATCATTCAAGACAGTACACACAGCATATGTTGTCCTGTCCTAAGATATTTAGTACCAGCATGGAAATCCTACCTGGTAAAGCACAAGAAAAATTTCAGATAGCAAAAGTTCAGAGATTTGCTACAAGACTAGTGCTAGGGATAAGATAATATAGCAGGAATGCTTTTTATGAAATCAGGCTAAGAAAATTCAATCACACGACACTAGATGAGAGAAGGTCTGGAGGTGATATGTTTACTACACAAAATATGATCAGTTAAACAAAGTGGGTATAGATGTTCTTCTAGATAGGGTAAAGAGAGTATGGGGACAGGTTAGAAACACAAAATAGTCAGACAACAAGATTCTTGTATAGAGTGATGAGGGTGGTAAGTGGAATGAGCTTGAGGCAGTTGTGAGAAACACCTCCATTCCCAGCTTTAAAGGAAAGTACAGTAATATAGAATGTTGGAATGCACCCAGTACAATAGCTGTAAGGTGGCGCTGTAAGGCTAGGTTATGTACACACTTTTAGGTGAGGGTGCATGCACTATGGGTATGTGCATACACTCAAGCACTCTGAGAGAATGAAAGCCACAGTGATACACATTATACATATTCTTTAAGTGATATTTACAATAAATGATTTTTAATTTTCTGGAAAGTTGTTGAATCATGTTCATTACTGATGTAATTTTCTGTTAGACTAGTAAATTTTCTATCAAAGCAAGCTTCTCTATCACCTTGGATGTAATATAAGATGAGGTAACTTTCTTCATAATTCAGGGAAACATTTTATTTTACTGGACATAGTAATGCTAAACTTAAAGTTTAGTATTGTATAATTTGTGATGCAGATATAGTTTTTGTATTTAATGTGGGTGTACTTTTGTGGTCTTGTGTGGGTGTACTTTTTGTGGCCTTGGGGTGTACTTTTGTGGCCCGATGGGTGTACTTTTGTGGTCTTGTGGGTGTACTTTTGTGGCCTGATGGGTGTACTTTTGTGGCCTGATGGGTGTACTTTTGTGGCCTGATGGGTGTACTTTTGTGGCCTGATGGGTGTACTTTTGTGGCCTGATGGGTGTACTTTTTTGGCCTTGTAGGTGTACTTTCGTGGCCTTGTGGGTGTACTTTCGTGACTTCGTGGGTGAACTCTTGTGGTGTATGTGTGTGTGTGTGTGTGTGTGTGTATGTATGTATGTATATATATATATATATATATATATATATATATATATATATATATATATATATATATATATATATATATATATATATATATATATATATTATGTATGTATGTATGTATGTATGTCGTACCTAGTAGCCAGAACGCACTTGTCAGCCTACTGTGCAAGGCCAAATTTGCCTAATAAGCCAAGTTTTCCTGAATTAATATATTTTCTCTAATTTTTTTCTTATGAAAAGATAAAGCTACCCATATCATTATGTATGAGGTCAATTTTTTTTTATTTTAGTTAAAATTAACGTAGATATATGACCGAACCTAACCAACCCTACCTAACCTAACCTAACCTATCTTTATAGGTTAGGTTAGGTTAGGTAGCCGAAAAAGTTAGGTTAGGTTAGGTTAGGTAGGTTAGGTCGTCGAAAAACAATTAATTCATGAAAACTTGGCTTATTAGGCAAATCGGGCCTTGCATAGTAGGCTGAGAAGTGCGTTCTGGCTACTAGGTACGACATATATATATATATATATATATATATATATATATATATATATATATATATATATATATATATATATGTATATGTATATGTATATGTAATCTGGCAAGTCTTCAACCCCCTTTTTGTTTTCTCTATATGAATTGTCATATTTTTCATCTTTCCAGCCAGTCTTGTAACACATGATGTCCTTTGCATCAGCCTCACCTGCAAGTTTGACTTTAGTACTAGGTGCCGATGGGAGCCGGTGGCTGAGTGGACAGAACACTGGGCACGTGATCCTGTGGTCCTGGGTTCGATCCCGGGCTCCGGCGAGAAACGATGGGCAGAGTTTCTTTCACCCTGATGCCCCTGTTACCTAGCAGTAAATAGGTACCTGGGAGTTAGTCAGCTGTCACGGGTTGCTTCCTGGGGGTGGAGGCCTGGTCGAGGACTGGGCCGCGGGGACACTAAAGCCCCGAAATCATCCTCTCAAGATAGGTAATGGGGACTGTACATGTTGGCTGTGAGAACAATGAGTACATTGTTACACCTCTATCTCAGTTGCAGACTTTCTAGTGACCAAATATCTTGGAAATGGACATGTAGGTTTCAAGTTTAGGTCATCATTGTTACTCTTGAGTCTATAATCATGGGACGTCTTTAGATATCATTGATGGGGTTGAGAACTTAAGACCCTTTATCAACAATTTAGTATGTTTCAGATTTATTTTTGGATAAATTTTAAGAATTGAAATTGGCATGGGTTATGGGCTTAAATGTTTACTATCTTTTCAGATCTTAATTTTTTTTTTCAGTTCGATTGGTCTTGCATTTTCTTTCTTGTCAAACCCTGGAATGAATTTATTTTCCTAGTACAGTACTATACTTCTTTGTCATCCCAATGTTGTTGTTCTGTCAGTAATAGTTCTTATGCATCAATTTATTTACTCTTATTTCTTTTGAGGCTTGGTTTCTCAAGTTCTTCTCCCCGAACTTCCCCAATTATCTAAGTCTGAATAAGATTTTGTGTAATGCCATCGTCTCTTCAATTTGATTTGCCTGTCATTGGCCATTTGAGAAAAAATGTCTTCCTCTCCATCTGTTCGGGGAGAGTCCTTTTTGACAATTCTGAAATACAAGTTGGACCATAGAATAGTTGGGTAAAGCATGCCCAATATTTTGTATTCTATATATGCTTAGATTTTTATATCCCCCCCCCCATTGCAAAGTTGTGAAGGCCATCCTGCTTAGCCTGTGTTGTCAACCATTCAACTGCTCGTATATCTGCATAGCATCCATCTGTGCTCTCAACTATAATACTGTAATATTAAGATGATTATAAGCACTGTGGCTTATTATTGATAACTTAAAACTTTACAGTTGAGGCATTCCACGTTACAAGAATTTTGGTAGTCTTCCATTTGATATTTTTGTGACAATTGTTCTATTTGATTATTAGGTAGACACAGTGGGAGTGTGGTATAATTAGATCAGCTTATAAGGAAGGAAAATAGTATCCTTTAAGCCTATTTTGTATCTTCCTACTGCACAGTAAACCTGCTTTCAGTGGAAGAATGCTGATCTCAATCTGTAGATGAAAGTGATAATGTTATTTAGTCTTGTTAACACTAATTTCCTTAGATTGGGTAAGTTCAAGGTTGTGACAGTGGAATCTACCTTTTACTTTTAGGACGAGGATTGAGTCGTGCTGTTGCTGCAGATGGACGCGGTCGCAGTCAATCTCACCGCCCAATGTTTAATGTTACTCGTGTGCCAGGCTTTGCTTTGAAGCGAGAAGGTGGAGCAAATCAGCAAACTGCGGATGCAGGTATATTGATGAAATATTATTGCAAAATTCTTTTTTTACAAAACTAGTTTGATTTAAAAAGTCTATCATTAGAGTTTAAAGGTGTTTCTCAGAAGAGATTAAATCACCCGTAAAATTTAAGTAATATACATGTTTATTCATATCTCGTATTATAATCTTTAGGGAGTATAAAGTAGAAGAAAGGTAGGTTAACAGATAAATATTAGCTGGTCTTATAGGAAACTACACCTTAAATTGTATTGTTAGCATTACTTCTGCATATTTTAGGATTTTTTTTAAAGCGCCCTATTTAGTTTAATAACTAATAAAATACTGCTTTGTGAAGGTTTCTTTTATTTATCTTTCTCCTTCCTATCTGTGAAAACTGGTAACGCACTGCTTTGTTCTCATACTATTCTCTCTAGATATGTGCGCTAACTTTACTGAATTGTAAATTTATTTTGATAAATCTAAGCCAAGCTTTGTATAATTATGAAACATTTATTCTTAATCTGTATTCAGTGAACACTGTGCTACATTGTTATAATGACTTGGCATTTTCTTTTGATACTACTAATTAATTTTCATGGTTGCTTGTCAAGTTGATTTAATGTAAATTAAACCATTAATTAAACCTGCTAGCGTGTTCTCTTTTCAAGGGTTTGCCTTTCCTATTGTGCCGAGACAGCTTAACATGTATCCTGTATATTCAAACTCTTCCAGTGTAGTGTCACTAATAAAATGTTTTCTACTATACATATCAACTTTCCAGAATAGCTTTCTGGTCTATAAATCTTTCATTCATAGTATTTGTCTTAAATCTCATCGTCAGTTATGCCCTGTTTTCAATTTAGACTGTAGAAGATACTCATAAATCTAGTAAATATAATTGAAGTGACACCTCTGCAGGGTATTTAAATTTTGAAATAACATTAATTATTGCTTGATAGTCATATGGTCATTTTAAGACAAGCATACAAAGCACTGGCAAGAGTTTGTACCGGACTAATGGTGCTTGCAGGGTTTGAGCTTGGGCACTTTAGTCCTGCTCATCAACTGTCAGCTAACTGGTGTACAGGTTCCTGAGCCTATTGGGCTCTGTCATATCTATATATCAAACTGTATAGAGTCTCGCACAACCATCTCGCTTCTTAATACATTTCATTTGTTGCTCCAAACAGCAGTTTTGCTGGCCCAGTTATTTGTCACCTTGAGCACAATATACCCCTATTTATCTATATACTGATTCATTATTAAGCTAAATCAAGAATGACCTTTTTTGTGGTAACTGAGACGTGTTTAAAAAAAAAATTTAAAATTTAGAAGCAGTTAGGTAATCGCAGGCGCTTTTCTTGGGGGAGCCCCTTCAGCTCTCCGGAGCTATCCGGGCTGATATGAATGTATTATACCCTGTCATCAGTCAAGCGAATGGAGTTCTAGGCCTACCGGGGACCACGAGCCAGAACCTGGCCCCCCTCAGAGAGGCACAAGGAGCAATGGCCTATAGAAACCCCCGTGTGATTGGAAGCATTCTGTGTCTACCATCGACCAGGTCAGGCACCCAGAAAGATAGGCGGCCCAAAACAAACCTTATCTGGTTAACCACTGAACTGCTCTGCCTCCAAATATGTCAGCCCCCTGGTGTGCAAGAAATAAATTCTTTCCAAAATTTTTTTTCTCTTAATTTAATAACACTTTCGTGCGTTCGTGCCGCTCGAGAGCGGCACCAATTTTTCTCTTGAGTCCGCGTAACTGACTTGCTCACAAGTCACGAGAAAAAATATTTCTGTAAAATCCATTTTTTATCCGATCGACTTGGGGATAGTTTCAAAATGCACGCCATGAAATTCCTGTTCTCCCCAAATAAAAACGGTTTACAACAAGTCTAAATTTGACAAACCTATAAAGAGTGGAAACATTTCGTTGCTGTTTGGCACTCACTTCTATTGCGAACACATTGCTACAAAAATGAAATACGTACATCGAAAATTAAGGTCAGAACAGTGAAAAGAATACGTATACACTTTTCAATAGGGGTCTCGCCGATGTGCCGTCAGGTGTGCGGTAACAGGTAACACTTCGGCCACCTCCCACACTCTTGAGGGTGGGCCTTGACCATGATTCTACATTTATATACATATGTCTGCATAGGGAATTTTATTGCGATCTCAGTGATACCAAATTTAACGCTGTAGGACAAGTGTGGAGTTGACAACCCTGAAAAGAGTAGAAACATTTCGTCGCTGTTTGGCGCTCATGGTTAGTGATCAGCGTAGTTCTTTATTTGGTGCTGGTCTAACTCATACTTTGGTGACATTTTATACATATGTTCTTCTAGAACATTCTATTGCGAACACATCTTGAGGTTATCTTGAGATGATTTTGGGGCTTTAGTGGTCTAGTGGTTTGGGGCGGCCCGGTCTTCGACCAGGCCTCCACCCCCAGGAAGCAGCCTGTGACAGCTGACTAACATCCAGGTACTTATTTTACTGCTAGGTAACAGGGGCATAGGGTGAAAGAAACTCAGCCCATTGTTTTTCGCCAGCACACGGGATCGAACCTGGGACCACAGGATCACAAGTCCAGTGATCCTGTGCTGTGTCGTCGTCTGTGCGTCTGCTCCGCCGATCGGCTCCCTCGACATTGCTACAAAAATGAAATATGTACATCGAAAATTAAGGTCAGGACAGCGAAAAAGAGTATTCAATTTTCAGTGTTGCCGCTCGATCGCCCGAAACACCGCGTGCACAAGGGGCAAGTTTCTTTCTCGGTTGCCGGGAGCGCGAAAGTTTTAAAATGCAGTCTGATCACGAGAAACTAAAAAAAAAATTGTATGCGACATACTTTAGCCGCAATGGAGCTGGGAAGTTGAGCAAATTATGGGCGCTGAGTGATGGAGCGCTGGGGGTCAGTCGGCTCTGCGACCCCACGGGGCAGCAGTTGCCGTGAATATAATGTTTCACAATTATTTGGATGTTTCTCATTCTTTTCTAATCTTGTTTTTGTAGAATATTATTCAAAAGTGTGTAATTTGTGGAATTTATATAGTTCAAAGTGTGGAATATCACTATGCTCAAAATTATGGGGCTCATATATGTGAAATACATATTATAATCTACGATCAATCAGTGTTTATGCTGTTATTGCACTATATACACATATTGTATATACCCATCTACATATGTGTTCACCATAACAAACTACTAAGTTGGTATGGTGAGCCCAGAAAACATGAGTGAGCTGCCACACCCAGCCAGCCCACCCTCACTCCTCAACACCTTACTCGCCAACATTCCTCCTCCCACCATACTGTTATTGTTTTTATTACACTATTTACACATGTATAAGTATCTACATGTTTTATTCACCATAACTATACAACTAAGCTGCCATTGCGTTCAAACAGCACAGTGGCCATCATACACTGCATGACAAGTCACACAGCAGACGATGCTATGAGTACGGTTCCGCCTCCCACTCCAAAATGGCTCCTCCCAACATGCTCCTGTTGCTGTTATTACACTATATACACACGTTATATATAAATATCTACATATGTGTTCACCATAGCAAACCACCAAGCTAGTATGGTGAGCCCAAACAAGAGTGACTGCCACACAGTGACTCTACCTCAATTCCCTCCCTCCCTCACCAAAAATCCTCCTCCCACAATACTTTGCACAGCGAAGTATTGTGGGAGTCATCACAACCACAATAACCACAGTGGGAGTTATCACCACAATCCTGCTATTATCACAATCCTGGTCACTAAATCCTGTCACTGAATCCTGACCACAAAATTATTTTGTAAAGGAACATAAGTCATTTGAAGATTCCTAGATAGACGAAATAATGCTGTGGTGCTGTGGCCAGTGCTGTGAACATCTTGAACAGCATTGATTCACTGATATTTGAACATTGTACACAGTCATTATCACACTCAGGCTCTTCTGTAATACTATCATGGATAAATAATACCAGTTACATATATATTTTGACATTATTAGGTGATGCTGTGGTCACAAGCTGAACAGCAGTGCTGTGAGCTCATGCTGCATGCACCAGCCTTGGTTGCTCACTCAGTACTGAGACTCTCACACCTGGGAATGTTGCCCACGATTTAAACAAAAATGGCATCTGTTTACAAGTGCCCTGAGGAAGCTGATGTGAACCCCATGTAACTGCGGGAGTTTTGAATCATACGCTATACCCATAAGATCCCTGAGGCGCGTTGTGCACCACCTATCGAGACCTACAGGCGCGCAGTGCAGTGGTTAAACAAAATTGCTACAGAAAGCCAAATTGTTGGACAGAACTCCACAAACTAAAAATGAGCAAATGAGCATGACATCACAACCGTCACCATGCCGTCGTCTGTGCGTTTCCACACTTCCCTGGAGGGGGCACAGGAAGCCCCAGTCCCCCATGCCAGCTATCTACACCCTAGTTCTGTGGCGAGACCTGGCGGTCGTGCGACACTGGCTCTGAATCTTTCCAGTGTTGTGCCTTGTGGTGTGGTCCAGGTGGTGGTGTGCGAGCCAAGAGTAGTTTCAACTGTACTCTGGCTGCATGTGCCTAGGGTTCCCTTCCCTAGTTGTCCTGTAAGTACTGTAATGCCCTTGAGGCTTGGGGGTTATCTTCCACTAGTCACTTGTGGGCTGCCTCCACTAAGGTCTTGTGCTGCTCAGTGATTGCCTGCCCTCGGGGTGGGCAAATATCCCAGTCAGCTGGGGTGTTTCATGTGCCACTGTTTGTCTCTGGGTAGGAGGTAGTGCCCTTACTTGTAGGGGCACATGGTACTGTGCAGCTTGTTTTCACCTTATTACAGTGGCCGGTTCTGCTCCACCTGTGTCGTTGTGCTCTTGTGTTTTTTTGTTTTTGTTTTTCTCCTGCCTGGTGGGGAGGGGGTCTGCTCCTTGGTGTTGGTACCTATTATATATATCTTGGTGGTCCTCCACTAGGTCCTCGTGAGTGTATACGTCCCGGGGATTCGGCTTTTAGCAGTTTGTTTGGTAGTTTGGGGTACCAGTTACCAGTACCTCGCCTGGGCTTCCCTTAGCAGAGCGTCTAAGGGCCCTTGAAACCCCCACTGGGGCTCAGTGGTCCAATGGATGCATCCTCTGGGTCCCATCTCGCTTCGTGCGTGTTTGAAGGTTGCTCTGCCCCTTGTCTCAGGGTGACAATCACTTGTTCTGCCTCTGTCATGCTGCCTGTTGGGTCGGTGACACCTTTGACCTGAAGTCATGCGAGTGGTGTTGCTTGCATGTACTTCGCTTCACCCGCTCCATTGATAATGATATTTGGGTGCAGGGGGCTTCGGTGTTGCATGTGCGTTAAAGGTTGCTGCAGTGCACTAGGTTGTTAGTCGCCTCGGCTTTGGGTGTTAGTCGCCTCGGCTTTGGTTTCATCCGCGCCCCCTTGTCCTTCCCCAGCTGCAGTTCATCCTGTTCCTATCCGAAGTGTCTGAGGGTTTCAGAGTTGGGGCAAGGTTTAGTTGGTGGTGAGACTCGGGTAGTTTCAGGGGATGCGCCTTCCAGTGTGGCATTCGAGTCCGTTCCTGCAGCCGGTGCTTCTGGGTCTGACCAGTGGGCCCCTTTCGTTCCAACTTTTCTGGCTGCTTCTACCTTTTCTTTTGAGGCAGAGGGTTTGGAAGATGGCTGGCCCCGGGTCCTGATGTGGAGGCTCCCGGGACGGGGGAGGGGATGACTTGGGGGGGGGGGGGGGGGCCTGGGCCCCATTTGACCCCACTTGGGTTTTGGTTCCCTCAGAGCGGGGTTTGTTGTTGCAAGGTGTGGGGTTTTCTTATCCTCTCCTCCATGTATGAGTTTGATATGACGTCAACCCCTCCCCGGGTTCAGTTCTGGGTTCCTCTGTGTCCTTCGGCCCCGTCTTTTTGGAGGTTTTCTGCCTCCCACATCCCGCCTCAAGAGGTGCAGGAGGTTCTTGCAGCATACCTCCTGCGCAACCCGGATTATACCTCGATAATGGATCCTGCCTCTTGAGTTCAGTTCTTCCTTTCCTTACTAGGTTCGTTAGAGGTTCCGGAGTTGTGCTGGTTGGCAGACTGTCCGATCTTTTCTTTGGGGGCGTGGCCTACTTTTTATCGGTCCCGCATACTTGAGTGGTGAGAGGCTCCTGCCATTGTTCAGGTTTACCTGGGGGGCGAGTTTGAACTCCTCAATGAGTGTTTGTTTGCTCCTGTCCTTCCGAGGGACATTAGCCAGGTGCAGCTTCACGTGCAGGTTCCTTCCCTTTTGGAGGCTCTGGTAGCTGAGGACTTGCATGCCCATGGCCACTTGGCTTCGGTCCTGTGTTTCTTTTCCCTTCCCGAGCTGTCTTCGGACTGGCTTGAGGAGGGTGTGGAGGCGCTGGGTGCCGATCCTGGTCTGGTGCACTGATCTCGGGTGCAGGCATCATCTGCACTGTTGAAGCTGTTTGCGCCACTCCTGCGGGAGGCGGTGTCTCTGTTCTTTGCCTCTCATCTCGTGTGCCGTCAGGCGGTGCTCGCTCAGTCCTTGGAATCCACTTGGGCCCTGGCTCTTAGGTTTTCTTCGCCTTTTTATCCTTTTGCCGTTTGCAGAATCTGCGGTGGTATAATATCTGCAAGCGGCCTCTTCTAGTTGTTGTCCCATGTCGGACTTGTTGGTTCTCCGGGGTCTTCCCAGAAAGGTCGTGCCAGGGCTCAGAGTTTTGCGTTCGGGGTGGATGTTACTTCTGCTCCATTCCACAAGCTGTCTCGTGCGTTGTTTCACCTCTGGCCTGCTCATGCGCCACCTGAGCCGTCCTGGTCGTTAGACCAGGTGCTCTCCTTTCTCTCTCCTCCTCGGTTTGTGGTGGCCCCTTCGGTTCTGGGTTGTTTGGCGAAGACTCTTTTCTTGTTGGCATTGGCGTCTGGGGGGTCAGGTTGGGGAGCTTTATGCTCTTCTCTGGCACAGAGGGTTTTGCTCTTTTAGTCCTGGTGGTAGGTTTGTTTGTTTGCAGCTGTCTCCTTCTTTTCTAGTGAAGAATGAGACTGCTGCTTTCTGGAGTGGCCCTTGGGTTGTTGATGCTTGGTTGGTTAGGCCGGGGGGAAATCATGTGTTGTGTTCAGTTACGACTCTCCGATGTTGCCTGCTCGCCACAGCCTCGGTGGCCGGGGACGCACTTTGGGTTGACCCGGTTTCCCTTCTTCCCTGTTCTAACGTTCGAGTCTCCCAGGTTGTCCGCAGGGTAATTTGGTCCCACTAGCTTGCAGTCTATCCTCGTACCCATGACGTTTGTAAGTTTGTTGCGGTTGCCATCGTCTTCGGTAACATGTCTTGGGCTGACATTCCAGCACAGGGTTTTTGGAGGTCGAACCTGGCCGCTCGCTTCCTTGTCAGTGTTCCTGGGCCTAGTCGGGCCTGTGTCACTTTGGGTTGGCGGTTGCAATCAGTTGTCTCAATTTCATGTTGTGGAGCGAGGACCCATGGGGGCTCTTTCCCCCACGCCCCAAGAAAACCAGCATTGAATGTAATGAAGTGCCATTTTCTGGGTGAGACCTTTCCCAGCAACCCTCCCTTCGGTTGGCAGTTTTTCACATGTTTTGACATCCAGCTTCAGAACTGGGGGTTTGGATAGTGGGCATTGGGATCTGGGGCTCCCCTTTTTCATTCCTGGGGAGGGGGAGGGTTGTGCAGACGGCGGCACGGTGACGTGATAACGACATGCTCATTTGCTCGTTTTCATTTTGGGAGTTCTGTCCACTAGTTCGGCTTTCAATAGCAATATTTTAACCAGAATAAGGGTTTGTTTTGAGGCGCTTACCTTTCTGGGTACCTGACCCGGTCGATGGCAGACATAGAATGCTTCCAACAACACAGAGGTTTCTATAGGCCATTGCTCCTCGTGCCTCTCTGAGGGGGCCAGGTCCGGTAGGCCTACAACTCCATGTGCATTGACTGATGCCAGAGTCTAATATATTCTTATCAGCCCGGTTAGCTCCGGGGAGCCTCCGGGTCTCGCCCAGAAAATGACGTTTCATTACATTCCACATTTTTTTTATTTGGCGTCTTAAAATTTTGCATTTGTTTCATTATATATTGTTTAAAATGGTATTTCTATTGTATCACATCATGTTGCTCCCTGAAGTAAGGATCAACCTTATCATATAGCTAGGATCATACACAGTCAGTGACATGCCAGGCACTGCCACCACAGGAAACGTTTCACAAGTCTCTATTGTCATTAAGTGTTCTAGGAAGTCACTTTAAAATTTCTCAATCCAGACCATGATGATCATGATGATGTAGGCAGGATCGAGCATTGGTGATGCTGGATATGCTCGCTTCCTGGTCAAATGAGCATCTTGACTGCAGTATGATGTGCATGGCTGTAGAGTGCAGGCTCTTTGTCAAGAATCTTTTTCAATGGCTGTTCAAAAAGAGGAAGCTCCTATCTTAATGCAGTGCTTCACATGCAATAGGTCAACATTGTTGGGCCCATTCCAGCTGGTTTCAAAGCTGGCACCTTCCATTCTTTCCTTTTAGCAAGAACCTCTTTCACAATCACTCTTCATGTGCTTTTGTCACAGCCTACAAGGTTTTAGACTTCTTGTTCTTGGAGTAGCTTTTAGTTTTAGTTTTTCTGCATTTTTATGACTTCACCCTTCAAAACAGGTGAGACCTTTCCATATTGTTGTTACCTCAGTTTAAGGTGCTTTCATTTGGGAATAACCAAATTTTAGGACTTGAAAATAAGGCTTTGAGAGAGGGAAGGTTGCTCCCTAATCCATCTAACACCTCTTTTCTTTCCTGTATACAGAGTGTATTATTGTATTGGGAAGTATGTGGGACAGGGAGAGTCTGGAAACCCTGAAGTGTGTGTGTGTGTGGTGTTGCTTCTTGGTTGTGGTCAGCATGGGTGACTTTACAGACAAGTGAGGCAGACAAGAGCCGTTTTTTGGCGATCACTTGTGCCAGGGAAGGGTTCACAAGAACTTTATTTGTATGAATGTACTGAAGTCTGGACCAGGTTAAATTTGTTACCAGTGACTCCTTGGGACCTTTAATGAGTCTTCAAGTATATTTGAAAAGTTACCTGTGGTTCGTATGCATAGTATGTCATCCTGCCTTATTGTGCATAATCCTGAGTATGAAACAGCAGATGCAAATATTAGGAAATAATTACTGGGTACTGTTTTGAAAAGTGCTGTTCAAATTGATTAAAAAGCTTTGTTTCAAACAGTAGATGAACATGCAAGCAGTTGTGCAGGACGATCTGAATCGCAAAGTCCAAATCATAGTGGTCATCAGAGTAGTAGACAGCCACCAACCAGTCATGAAAGAGGCTCTCGTTCTAGTTCTCGACCCCGACCACGAAGTGAAGAAATCCCATTGGAAGATATGATGGCATCCGGTGATATCCCCCAGACCTCACCATCTATGCCAAAGGTTTGTCTCAATGCTACATCTCCTCAATATCTGGATATAAAATGAGAATAGTATGGGCCATTATTTGATTGTTTTATTTAATAATTTAGAATCAAAGATGCCAGTGTATGTGATATGAGGTAATGTGGGTTAGTCTCTTGAGTGTGCCATATAGTAAAACCTTCTGAAATACTATATACACTGAAACCCCGTTTATCCTGACTTCAGATAGCTGGATATTGCCAGTAGCCAGACAGTAATTGCAATGATTCTCCAAAATCCAGAATAAGTAGTGTACTGCAAAAAATCTAGATCTCATGTTCACTTTCTTTAGTCAATGGGAGAAACTGGAATCAGCAAAGGTCTCTTTGTTCACTTTAAATCCATGTGATCTGTTTATTCTGATTGTGTAGATTTGATCGGCTTACACAAATGATTTACATTTTGTTAATATAATACCAAAAATAATAAATTTCAGGAGTACAATAATATAATGGTATGAGAATTGGTGTATGTGACTGTCAGTTTCTGATCATTTTGGCTTATTTCCATTTCCACGATGGTTCATGTGGTTGGGCTCCATTCCTTCCCCTCTGTTCTATCTTAGCTTCTTGCCCTCTTAACCCTTCCAAGTGCTACATAGTCGTAATAGCTTAGCGCTTCCTCCTGATACTTAAATACTGTACCTGACCCTGTTAATATCATGGATGAAACAGACGTGCACACGCAAATGACAGCATCTAACCTTGAGAAAATAATGTTACACATAATGCTAGGCAATGCATAAAGGGCAGACTTTGATACATCAGAAGTATTGTCGGAACAACCGTGGACATCTTAAAGAGAAAACTAGACTGTTTTCTAAAACAGTCTATTTCTGTGGCCCACAGAACTGGTCTAGTCTAGTGGCCCACATACCTACCACAGTCTGGACCAACCAGGCTGTGGTGGGTATGTGGGCCTGCGGGCTACTCCAAGCAACAGCCTGGTGGCCCAAACTCTCACAAGTCAAGCCTGGCCTCGGGCCGGGCTTGGGGAGTAGAAGACCTCCCAGAACCCCATCAAGCAGGTATCAACCACTTATGCCTTGAGAATTTAGACTTTGACAACCTTTAAGAAAGAGACAAATGTGTCATTAATGGGTAAAGAAAAAGATGTTTGTGTTACTGAGTCCCAAAAGCTTCATGTTAACGTTTGTCATTTGTAGTTATAAGTTTCAGATGCTTGGGTCGTTCTTCAGTGCCAAACATTCTTAGTAAACAGGATTTCAGTTTGTATTATATATTTGGTCAGAGTTACATTGGAGTCTGAAAAGATAAATTTATAAAATTACTGTCATTTGTGGAACATTGTCCATTTCTATAGTAATGACTTAAACATTTAATGATTCTTACTGTGTTCTTACTTCATGCTAATTGAATCATTTATTTAATAATGATAAATCTTTTATGCATGAAAAGAATATCAATAATCTGTACAGCAATTACTGTGAATGTCTTACATTTGAAGGTTGTCTGTTGAATAGTATTTAAAAAAGCTAATTTAAAAGTTAAAATATATTTAGTAGAAACAAATATAGAAAATTAAATTTGTCGCAACTCTTTGGTACTGGCAAAATGAGATGTAACACTTACTTGTAAAATGTAAATTGGAATGATTGTGTTTGCTACTTGATGAAAATTAGTCCATATTAGCTGATTATGATTGTACAATTGTCTATAGTGTAGGCTGTAGGCCCACCATTTTCATAAAATCTTTGAACCCCATAAATATACTAATTCGTATTAACTCTTGCCTCACAAGTTCAAATATTAGAAATTAGTGTCTTATGTATATAGAGGATGGCTAAGAGAGACAGACACACACAGACATGCCCCTCTCACCACATTCCCCTCCTGCTCCCCCATCCCATGCCCTAATTAACCCCCAACCCCAGACCCTTTCAGCCACACCCCCTCTTAACCCCCCCCCCCCCGTACTAGATCCTCCCAGCCGCGTCACATGACAGATACCCCAGGTCCTCCTTCCTAGGCCTTCCCACACCTGACACCTGTTGCCCCCCCACTCCAGTGGGGGGGTTATCTTGAGGTTATCTTGAGATGATTTCGGGGCTTTAGTGTCCCCGCGGCCCGGTCCTCGACCAGGCCTCCACCCCCAGGATGCAGCCCGTGACAGCTGACTAACACCCAGGTACCTATTTTACTGCTAGGTAACAGGGGCATAGGGTGAAAGAAACTCTGCCCATTGTTTCTCGCCGGCGCCTGGGATCGAACCCAGGACCACAGGATCACAAGTCCCGCGTGCTGTCCGCTCGGCCGACCGGCTCCCCAACCAGGCTGTTGTGCCCCCCCCCCCCCCGGGGGGGGGGGGGCACAACAGAAACTGAGAATGGACAGAAGAGTCGGCTTCAAGGTAATATACTCAAACATAGATGGGATTACAAGCAAGGCAAGTGAATTTAGGGAACCCAGATGTAATTGGACTCAAAGAAACAAAACTCTCAGGAATCATAATGAATGCGGTGTTTCCCCAGGACTACGCTGTAATAAGGAATGAAAGGGGAAGGAAGGGCAGGACACGAGTGGCTCTACTGATGAGAAAGGAATGGAGTTTCGAGGAGATGGTTATTCCGGGCTGCGGAGGGTTCGGAGACTTCATAACAGACACCATGACAATGGGAGGACCAAGAGTAGAAGTAGCAGTGATATATAACCCACCACTAAATGAAAGAACACCCAGGCAAGAGTATGACAGAAACAACATTGCAGTGAACACTATAATTGAGAGAGCAACCACTGCTGCCTGTAGAAATCGATCTCATCTGCTCATCATGGGGGACTTAGGTGAGTAAACAGGAGAGCAAAACTGTTTGAGGTGGCGACTAGAAATTTCTTAAGTCAGCATGTTAAGGATCCCACGAGAATGAGAGGCAACTATGAACCAGCAAGACTCAACCCAGTATTCACTCTGAACGATTCAGACATGAGGGAAATCTGTCTCGAAGACTCTGTGGGAATGAGTGATCACAGTATACTGATGTTTGAGTATCTGGTCGAAGAAAAGTTAATGTACTCAAGGAAGGGACCAGAAAGCAAAAGGCTGGCATTCCAGAAGGGAAACTTTGAGGAGATATGAAAATTCCTAACTGATGTTGCTTGTTGCTAGCTGAGAGGAAAGACAGCTCAAGACATGATGGACTACATCACACAGAAGTGTAAGGAGGCAGCAGACAAGTTCGTCCCAGTCCAAAAGGAAAAAAATGAAATGGAGACGAGAAACCAATGTTTTAATCAGAGATGTAAGCTAGCAAAGCAACTAAGTAAAAGGGTGTGAAGAAACTATAGAAACAGCAGAACACTAGAGAGCAGAGAAAAATACTAGAGCGCCAGGAATGAATACATCAGGGTGAGAAGAGAGGTAGAGAGGCAATATGAAAATGACATAACAAGCAAGGCAAAGACTCAACCCAAACTGCTGCATAGCCACATCAGGAGGAAAACAACTGTGAAGGAACAGGTAATGAAACTGAGGATAGGGGCAGAAAGATTCACTACAAACGACAAGGAAGTGTGCGAGGAACTCGATAAGAAATTCCAGGAGGTCTTCACCTCAGAGCAAGGAGAAATCCCAGAGATAAGAGAGGGAATATCAAACCAGACACCACTAGAAGAGTTTGTGATTACCAGTGGGGAGGTGAGGAAGCATCTGCTAGATTTGGATGTGACAAAGGCTATAGGCCTGGATGGAATCCCACCATGGATTCTAAAGGAAGGAGCAAAAGCTTTGTGCCTGCCACTCTCCATAGTGTACAACAAATCACAGGAAATGGGTGATCTGCCATTGTAGTCCCAATATACAAGAAGGGTGATAGGCAGGAGGCACTGAACTACAGGTCAGTGTCCCTAACTTGCATTCCATGCAAGATGATGGAGAAGATTGTGCGAGAAAAGCTAGTAGAACATCTGAAGCGAAAGAACTTTGAAACATAACATCAGCATGGGTTCAGAGATGGCAAATCATGCCTAACAGGTTTAATTGAGTTCTATGATCAGGCAACAAAAATTAGGCAAGTGAGAGGGGCTGGACAGACTGCATATTTCTGGACTGCCAGAAAGCCTTTGACACATAAGAGAATAGTGCACAAGCTGGAGATGCAGGCAGGAGTGAGAGGGAAGGTACTTCAATGGATAAGGGACTACCTAAGTAACAGAAGACGGCGAGTCACGGTGAAGGGTGAGGTCTCGGAGTGACGACACATCACCTGTGGAGTACCACAGGAATCAGTCCTTGGACTTGTACTAATTCTGATATATATAAATGATCTCCCAAAGGGAATAGACTCGTTCCTCTCAATGTTTGCTGATGATGCAAAAATTATGAGGAGGATAAAGACAGAGGAAGATAGTACGAGGCTACAAGATGACCTACACAAACTGAAGGAATGGTCTAACAAATGGCTACTAAACTTCAACCCAAGTAAATGTAAAGTAATTAAACTAGGCAGAGGAATTAGGAGGCCAGACACTGAATACCTGAATGGGAGATGAAGTCGTTCATGAAATGGACAGATAGAAAGATCTAGTTGATATTACACCAAACCTGTCTCCTGAAGCCCACATCAAAAGAACATCATCGGCGGCATATGCGAGGCTAGCTAACGTCAGTACTGCCTTCATAAACCTGTGTAAGGAATCTTTCAGAACCTTGTATGCCCATATGTAAGACCATCATATCCTGGAGTATGAGGGCCCCAGCATGGAGTCCGTACCTTGTCTAGCACAAGACAAAGCTGGAAAAGTTCAGAGGTATGCCAATATGTCCTTGAATGTCAAAGTCAGGTATGTCAAAGTCTTTGAACTAAGAGGCATGAGTTACGAGGAAAGGCTGCATGAACTGCATCTCATGTCGTTGGAAGAGGGAAGAGCTCGGGGAGACATAATCATACATACGTCACATACAAAATTCTCGGTATATCTTCTTGAGGTTATCTTGAAATGATTTCGGGGCTTAGCGTCCTCGAC